CAGTAGGGAATACACCACCTGCCTGGGTGAATTGTGCCGGTGTGTGACCCTCTTTATTAATAGTATTGTTCCTCATTTGAATTTGTCAAACTTCAGCATTTTGTACCAGAAGGTTACAGATTGCATTTGATGTGAGGGAGCTCTGGTGCGGGTATTGCCTGTGCACGGCTGGCACCTCGGCTCTTCTGCTCCTGTGACGGCTTTTATATTTGGATAGGATTTATCTTTGGGACCACTGTATACAAGAGTCCTGGACACAGAGAAGGAATTATTGGTGGTGGATCCTAGGGTTTACCCAGGATGCCGCAGTGCCTGAACTCCGGGGCTCAGGGTGTCACATTTGGGGTTTAGTCTGTGCTCCCTGCTGAGAGGAGGAGTGCAGCAGGCTTTGCTCCTGGCTGTTATTTAGGATGTAAATTCCCAGCCCCCTTAGTGAACTGGGATACGTGCTTTGGGATGTAGCTGCCGAGATCTGCTCTCTCCCGTCCCAGCGGCCGTGGGTCCGTGCTGCGGGAGACTCACAAAGAGGGAGAAAGCCCAGCTGGGTCCCTGACGCTGGGGAACAGCGGCAGGATTCGTGCTTCCATCCTGCAAATGGGGTGGGAGCAGCAACTAACAGATTAGCCCCAGGGATCTCCAGTCTGGACCGGTGGCGGGGTCCATATGCGACAGCAAAGAGCAGTGTAATTCTTACTCGCGGCTTCCAAGCCCCAAGATTCACCGAGTGAGTTCAATGAAGTGCCCTGGGGAAATAGCTTTGTCATTCATACTCTGTCAGCCGTGCATGGCAGGACTGGAGCTCTGCGATGAAGGCTCAGTACCCAGAGTGAAAACGCACAGGTCCATCCTCCGACCCTGGGAGTAGCCCTGCCTGGTTTTATCACAATTAAGACCTATGAAGCAGATTTGAAAGCAAGAGCCATGGCATGTGGTGCTGGTGAGGACATCCAGTCTCTCTGCTCTGGCACACCAAGGCCTCTTGAATGGGGTAAGGTGTGTGGATACTGGGATTTATACCTTCGGGTAGTAAGAGTACTGGTTCTCTCAAGATCTACTGGTTTATTCTACACGGGGGGCTGCACACACAGCTGAATGAAGGGCATTTGTCACGCTTGCCCTCCAAGGCAGCAGGGTCTGTGCCCAGGGCACAATCCCCACTGCCGGTGGCTAACTGCAGAGTGCCCTAGACACCCTTTATCTGGTGCTTTGTTGACAAGCCACAGAGACACCCCTGCTCTGTTCTGAACCTTAGTGCTCCACACACAGTGGAGTCCAGCCCTCACTGGCTGGCATTTCCACCCCAAACCTTCCTTTGCTCTCACAGCATTCCTGTTGTAGGAGGCACCTCTGTGCTTCTCCCAGCTCCTCCACAACCATGCCTGGGTGGTGCAGGACATGCTCTCAGTCTCTGGCCACGATATGACCAGCAAACCACTCTGTGTTGACTGACACCGACTGACGTTGCCTCATTCCTGCACTCACCTGGAGCTGGCTTTGGGGTAGGGGCATTGGGAGTCACCTGCTCTTCACCATTGGCAGCAGGATCTGTGCACAACAGTGTCTCAGGTCTGAGGCTTACACCTGATGTCCAGGCTGTCACTTCCATAGCATTATGTGTACACGAGGAGGCCAGCCCTGGGGCTTACTCCTTCCCCTCAGCTCCAGGTACAGGCCACTACCTGCTCTGTAGGTCTGAAATCCAGGCTACTGGGTGTGAAAGCAATTCAGGATTTGGCTCTGTAGGGTTTAGGGTTTCTTATTCCCCAGCTTTAGACCCTGGGAATCCATGGTCTGAGGTGCTGTTGCCGGAGCTCATCATCTCAGCCGAGAAGTACAGCGAGGTCTCCATTATAAGACATCCCAACACGCGAGAAGAGCATGGTGAGCTGGGTGACCCAGCTTACACCCAGGCACGTCTCTGCCAGCAGAACCATCTATGTTAGGAGGAGTGCTAGCGGTTACACGTACACCCCTGGAGCACCACACTCCCCTGTGGGACTGGCACTGAGATCTACCTGCTCCTGAAGAAGATCTCCACTGCTGGGGTGGGACTGTCCAGATCCACACCCCCTTGCTGCAAGACACCCGTCGGCCCCTGAGGACCAGACCTGTAACTGATAAAGCTGTGCTACAAGCAGAGCAGGTTCTTCACCCCAAAGAACTACTGTCCTGTGGAGGGTCCCAGCCATGCCCCCCAGGCACATCAGGCCATCTTGAAACCACCTGGGCAGTTTGTGTGCCCGGGGACTCACACACAGAGGTCCCTGACATTTGGAATTCTCTTTCCGAAGTCCAAAAGAAATTCTGTCATCTCAGGATTGCATTACCAGACGTGATCTTCCGTGGCATCGTGACCAAAATCCAGATGGCCAAGATCTCACCAGCCTCTGGCTTTGGAAGAAACTTGCTCCATTCTGCTGCCTCTCTGCAGAGCTGCATTTTAATACTGAGTCCTCTCTAAGGCTTAGAGTTTCAGGAGCAAAGTACAAAGAAATGCTGAGAATAGCTGCTCTTTTCTCCTCATCTTCATCTCAGGATCCCTCCAGAGACTGATCTTGCCCCGGAGGGAAGGGCAGGGCACATTAGCCGACAATTCCTTTTTTTCCTGTGAACTTTGTTTAAATATTTAACAGAAGGAAACTAAAAATATCCCCAGTTAATGCAGCAGGAGCTAGACAGCTACTCACTCATGGGTGCCCTTCCTCCCAGCCCCTCTCCTCAGGTGTACATCAGGGGCGTGAGTCCCCTTACCCACAGCAAGCGCCGGGCTCTTCCCTCCTTCAGGAGGGGGCTGCAGTTTTAGTCGGGGGCACGGGCCGAGCTGGAGGGGGTGGCAGTAACCCCTGGGGAGCCAGGGGCAGCACATCTGGGGCTGGAGGCTCAGGGAGGTTGGCCATTGACTCCCGTGGCTGAGCAGCCCCATTTCTCCACCCCGGTCAGCCACAGAAGGGCATGGCTGTGGGTTGTCACCGTTCATGCTTTCCCCCTTCTCAATATGGGAGCGAGTTGAATATCTCAAATGATGGGTTTTTTTGGTCTTTTCCTGTGTGCGTGTGTGCAGTCTTTGTTGCAGAGTGGATCCTGGGTCAGGCATGTAACAGCTCACCGGGGAAGGGCCATCCTTATTGCTTATTGCATCCTTATAAGACCTTATTGCATCCTTATAAGACCTTATTCCTCTCTACAACTCCCTGAAAGGAGGCTGTAGAGAGGTGGGGGTCGGTCTCTTCTCTCAAGTCACAGGCGACAGGACAAGAGGAAACGGCCTCAAGTTGCGCCAGGGGAGGTTTAGGTTGGATATCTGGAAACTTTTCTACACTGAAAGGGTTATCAAGCATTGGAACGGGCTGCCCGGGGAAGTGGTTGAGGCACCATCCCTGGAGGTGTTCAAAAGATGGGTTGACATGGTGCTGGAGGACACGGTTTAGTGATGGTTGGGGTGGTTTTTTGGTGGTGTTTTGTTTGGGTTTTTTTTGTCACAGTTAGGTTGATGGTTGGACTAGATGATCTTGAAGGTCCCTTCCAACTTAGATGATTCTATGCTTCTATAAGGGGCAGGTGGCATGAAGGGCAGCCGTGCTGCTGCCAGACTGGTGGCTGGTGCCAGGGGGGAGGCGTGTGGCCAGTGCAGAGGTCCAACCTGGGGGGAACAGCCCTTACTCTGTGTCTCTGATGCTGCCTGGTGCTGCTCGGCCATGGGAGGTGGGAGAGCGAGGGGAGGAACAGGGAAGAAAGAGAAGGGTGGGACAGGGCAGAGGACTCTAGGACACGGACCCCCTAGTGTGGGCCAGTAATTCTATGTTAGCTTAGAGGAAAGTAAATACTAAATATTTGATAGGTATATTTTTGCTCTTAAATTCTTTAGTAAGGCTGGACTTTTCTCGCTGATTCACTCTCTCCTTCTCAGTCTTCTTGGTTTTATCACTCTCGTGCTTCCCCTCTCACTCCCTCACTCTGGCACACAATGAAGAGGCTCTTTTTTTAATAAATGGATTACACGCTCTTACACTATAAATAAACACAGGAATTAAGATTCCAACTTGTTCCAGCGATAAGCAAACAAAGATGCCGAATCCCCCTCCCGCCCCCCTCGGCCCTCAGACAGGAGGGTCCCCGGGGAAGCTGCACATGTGCTTCTGCACGTGTGATCCAGAGATTGCTCCTTCCTCCCATCAGCACACGCTAACACACGTGGTGACCATGCGGTGCTGGGGTCCAGGGGGACGATACACCTCTGTACAGGACAGCATGGGGGGTACAGAATCACAGAATCATCTCCATGGTTGGAAGGGACCTTTGAGATCATCGAGTCCAACCATAAAAAAAAAAACAAACAACAAACAAGCAAAAAAAAACCAACCCAAAACCAAAAAACACGAAAACAAAAAAACCAACACCCCATCACCACAACAATCACCACACCCAACAATCTCAGGCACTAGAGCATCCCTGAAGTGCCACATCTACACGTGTCTTAAATCCCTCCAGGGATGGTGACTCCACCACCTCCCTGGGCAGGCTGTTCCAGTGCCTCACCACCCTCTCAGTAAAGTAATTCTTCCTCATATCTAATCTAAACCTCCCCTGCCGCAACTTCAGACCATTTCCTCTGCTCCTGTCATTATTCCCTTGGGAGAAGAGGCCAACACCCACCTCTTTACAACCTCCTTTCAGGTAGGTGTAGAGGGCAATGAGGAGCCCTCAGCCTTCTCTTCTCCAGACTAAACATGCCCAGTTCCCTCAGCATCTCCCCATACAACTTGTTCTCCAGACCCCTCACCAGCTTGGTGGCTCTCCTCTGGACACACTCCAGCACTTCAATGTCCTTCTTGTAGTGAGGGGCCCAGAACTAAACACAACTGAGCACGGGGGGCTCCAGAGCAGGGTGCTGCGATGCCCTGATGGCCAGGGATGGAGTCTCGCCTGCAGTGCCTCCACAGGGAGAGGTGCAGCCGGCGGGTGAGGGGACCACTGACACCTCTCCCGTTTGGTTTTCCCAGTGAAGAAGATGAGACGAGATCCTCGCTGAGGGAAAACACTGTTACATCTGCGATGGAGCCTGGTGCCTGGTAGGTTCAGAGCTTTGCCGGGAAGGACCGTGGGGGGTGGGCTGCTCCTGGCTGCTCCGGGCTTGGGCTTTCCAGCCGGACGGACATCTCAGATAAGGCTCTTTTCTTCCTTCTGACCCCACAGCAGGATGCCTCCGCTCCTCTCCCGCGTCCACTCCCTGCAGCTTTGGCATCTCCTCCTCCTGGTCTCTGCCGTCCCTCCCCCCGGCGTCTGGTCTCTTCGTTCCCGGGGTCCGGCAGCCCCTCGGCCTCTCTGCGCCCGTCGGAGCCCCTCGGCCCCCCGGCCCATGTGCATCTGGGACAGGACCTCGCTGCTGCAGGAGAGGAGGGATGCTCGCCCGGCCGCCCCACGCCAGCGGGCCCTGCCACCCCGGGGGTCGGAGCTGCGGCACGTGGTGCGGCTGCGGCGCCAGGCGGTGGGGGCCCGCCCCGCCACCCCCTCCGGGTTCGAGGACGGCATGCCCTCCTCCCAGTACCCCTGGGCCATCGTCTGGGGCCCCACGGTGTCGGACGAGGACGGCGGGGACGCCAACTCGGCCAACCCGGGCTTCCCGCCCTTGGGTTACACCTTCGTCTCACCGCACGGGATGGCGACGGCGCAGCCCAACTCCCACTCGCTCCTGCACAACGCGGGGCTCAACCTGCGCGAGACCCCCGCCACCCTGCGGCCCTTCTTGTTCGGGCCCCGGGGGGAAGGTAAACCTGCCCTTCGCTTCCTTCACCCCCACCCCGTCCCCATGGGAGCAGCTCCTTCTGCCCCAGCAGGAACCTCCCCTTGCGCTGCTGCTCTCCAGGGACCGGTGGGGGTGGCCATCACACTCCCCTTCCTCTCCTCCTCTGTCTCCCAGGTGTAGACCCCCAGCTGTACGTCACCATCACCATCTCCATCATCATCGTCCTGGTTGCCACCGGGATCATATTCAAGTTCTGGTGAGTGGCGCTGGGGGCCGATGGAGGCTGTCACCACACCGGTGGGGGGGCAGGAGGACTGTGGGCTTGGGATGCATTCATCCCAAGGGTGTTGCACCAGCTGGATCTGGTGGTGGAAGCCCTCGGGAGGTCCGGCACGTGGCTGCGCTGGGCTCTAAGTGCTGGGTATCTCAGGGTCTCATGAGCCCCTCTGTCATCGAGGGCTGGGGCTTGTCTGAGGGGGCACACTTCATCTCACCCCTCATCTCTCTCCAAAGCTGGGACCGTAACCAGAAACGCCGGCGTCACTCGGGGCAGCAGAGCGGTGGGAGGCAGCAGGAGAGCCAGCAGCCCCTCACGGACCTCTCCCCCACCACCGTCAGCATCCTGGGGCCCTACGGTGACTCCCTGACCCCCACGCCTGAGGCAGAGGAGTCCAGGCAAGGCCAGGAGGGTATGGAGAAACTAGGGGGCCATGGGAAGAGCACGGCCTTCCAGCTCAACCGGTGAGTGGCCGGTTAGCTGGGGAGGGAGGGGGTGGCAGGGGACAGGGGGACAGGCAGGCTGAGGCAGGGCAAAGGGGCTGGTCGGTCAGCAGGGGCAGTAGGATGGCGTAAGCACCCATTGATAATTGACTTCCAATTCCCTTTTTCCCCCCAGAATCCCCTTGGTGAACCTGTGATGCTCACAGGAGGAGCAGAGCTGGCTGTCCCACCCTCCGATGTTGCAGCCGGCCAGCGCCGACTCCCGCCGCCTCTGCTACCCCCAGGAACAAACGACCTCCTTGTGCCACGGCTCGCCACCACCATGATTAACTAACTCCACCAGGACGTGCCTGGGCAAATGGACGAGCTGGGCCGCCCTAGCTTCCCACTGGGGGAAGGTTGGGGACCCCGTACCCCCCAGCCCACGCAGGACAGGGTGATGAGAGAGCAGGACGGTGGGGAGGGAAGACAGCTGGTGGTGGTGTGACATCTTGGCCTCCCCGGCCCCTCTTCTAGCACACACGCAGACACACACACACCCCTGGACCTCCATGACTCTCTCACCAGTGCATGCCTGTCATTGGGGTAGGCAAGGTGGAAAGGCGTACCCCTGTCCCTGTGGGCCCTAACCCCTCTGTGTGTCCCTTCCCATGTTGTGTGCTTTGAAGTGAACGTCTGGAGTTCAGTGGCTGCAGGATTGCCTGCCGGGGCTCGCTCTCCCCTGAGCCCGGGCTCAGGCGGTGGCAGGTTCTTCTGTTGCCGAGGCCTTGGCCCTCCTGAGGGTCCCAAGGGTGGGTGAAGCTTGGGCAGAAGAGGCTCACGCAGCACCTGGGTCCCCTCAGCAACCCATTTCCTTAAGGAAACATTACCTCCCCCCTGGATGGAAGATTCTCACATCTTTCCATTTTCTTTCCGCCTAACACTCCTCTGCTGTTTTTCTCTTCAGTTTGTACCTTTCTTCACCTCTCCATCTCCAATTGTTTTCTCTCAGTTCCTCCCCCCACCTCTTGCCAGTTAAAGTTGGAAAAAGTTCCTTTAGCTTTCCAAACGTTTCAATCTCTTGGGAGCCTCCCTGCTGTCCCCCTCCATCCCCTCAGTCTCCTTCAGCAAAGTTTTTCCTGGTGGTCATCAGTCTATGGTGATGTTCTGCAGAAAAATCTGAGGCGAAGCCCTCTGCCCACCACGTTATTTAGCAAGTGTCCTGTCCATTGGGGTACCACCAAAGCAGCTAAAGCGTGGCATGTAGATATAGCTGGGCATGAGGAATTTGGGTTTTCCTGGGCTGAGGTAGGGAATTGCTGTCAGACACTCATGGCACAGGTGACAAGCAGCACATACGACTCTGTGTGCCTGGGGTGACAAAGAACAATTTAGCGCTGACCTCGGGAACGTTGGGAGCGTTGCCATGTACTGCTGGTGGGTGTCTCCTGGAATGCAGGGTGACTGGAGACCCAAGAGGCAACACTCACCAAGACCATGAGGGAGCAGGTATCTGGTGCCTTCATCAGTGTGTTGTCCCAACTGGTGGGGAACTGAAACCAACGGCACAGGTATTGGTGCAAACTGGTTGCCTGAGCATGTACTTTGGGGCTGTGGTGGTCCGTAGGTCAGGCAGCCCCACTGGCAGTTACTTGTGTGAGCAAGGTCAGTGCGTCTCAGCCTCTTCCTATGCGTGGACCCGTCGGTGTCACTTTGAGAAAGTGTGAAATGGCAAATTTCAGCTTAATGACAATAGTTGCTCTCCCTTGGCTTTTGTGGACACCTTTAAAGTTATTCACAGGCCCCCTGCATTGACAGCCACCGAGCTGAAATGATGCAGATTTAGGTAAAGTTGCCCCTATACTGTACAAACACCTTCAGCTGCTGGACTGATGTGGCCAGAGACAGGAAACTCACCCACAATTTGAAGGCCCTAATGTACCTTACAAGATCTCTGACAAAAGTCATCTTGGAGAAAAGGAAATGGCCCTTTCATCCTTTATCTGTGCAGTAAAAGCCTATTCTTTATAGGACAAAGCACACGGAATTTCATAAGAGGCCTGTTTCTGCCCATTTACCCAGCTGAACCATTAGGTGATCTCGGGTCTCATCTGACTCACCGTGAAGGACATTTAAATGAGAGAGTAAATTGCAATAAGCTTCGCAAAAAACAGTAGAGATTTGGAGAAAATGACAGGTCAAATAAAATTACTGGCTTATTAAAAGCACAGAATGGCTGAAAGGTGTAGGTGGAAAAGGACTCTGGAGGTCTCTAGTCTAAGCACAGGTTGAGTTGCCGCTTATAGTAGGGGATATTATTGCTTTACCCCAGATAAATCTGTTATTGAGCCTTTTCCTTATTCAGGCTTCATTCAAGGCTTTGGTGGAGACATTGGAGCTGCAGGTGGAGGGAGAAGGGGGGCAGATGGCCGTTCTTGCCCGCTGCCCCGCTTGCCACAGCCCCCACCAGCCGAGGGCAGCTCGGGGCCGTTCCTCCTCTCGCTGGCACGTCGGGGCTGGAGAAGGCCATCTGTCTGGCAAGAGGCTGCGCTGCTTATTGCTGGCATTTTACACTATAATGCCTTCAACCGGTTTAAGTAATCTTCCAGACCAGATTAATTAGATTTCTCTTTGATCAATAGCGCTCGTTGAAACAAGGCCAGAGTTTAGACTCTACCACTTCAAGGGCTGTCCTTGGACTTTCCCATCCCACGCACTACATGGAGAGAAGGTCTGTAAGGAAGTGGCAGGGCACCGCAGGTGCCGTAGTGAAAACATTTTCCAACGCCGGATGAGGGGAAGCCCTGCGCTCTGCTCACCAGGCTTTTGTGAACTCTACAAACAAATCAGATTTCAGTGTTTTGCGTAGGTTTTTTTTTCCCCCCTCTCTAACATGTCTCTGTTTTTGTTAAAAGTATCTCCAGGGAATGAAGCCTTTCATGGATGCTGCGGTAAGGGGGAAGCTGGGGAATGCAGTAGAGAAAACTCTTGCAATGACAGAAGCTTGGATATGCTAAACATCTTTTCCAAGATCAATTTTTCTAGCCAAATATGTTTTTATGACAGTCATTTACCCTCTGACACAAAACAGGTTAGATATGGGAAGCAACTTCATCGTCCTGCCCAAACTTTCATTGATATATTTTGTCCCTGGAACGAAACATTCAAAGCACCTGTGGACACACAAGCTTCTTCCAGTCAATAAATAATCTCACTGGTTCTGCTTTCTCCATGGCTGGAGCCTTATAAACCATCTCCCCATCCGCAGACTGGAGCCAGAGCATGCCTGCAGTCTCTTCCCTAGCCCAGGCTAATATTCTGTGACACGCACACACAGACAGGTTGACAGCACCAAGTACCAAGCCAGGGCAGAGGCCAGCATCTTCTCAGTCACAGCCCGTCAGGTTTCCTTGTCTTTTAGGTGACTGGAGGAGAAAGATCTGGATTAATTTTTTGCCAGTGGAAATTTTACGGAGAGAAAGGTGTGCGGGGGAAAACGACTGAAAGTGTTGGTAGCATTAGACTGACCCTGCCCAACATTTCTGTGCCATTAAAAGGAAACATCGAGGTGGGCTGGGTGAGTGGAAGGCCCCATGCTAGCCCTGAGCTCCTGGAGGGATGTGGCTCTGTTAACACAAGGGTGGTCCTTCTGTGAGCCCAGTGGGAAAGAGGGAAGGTCTGGAGGAGAACCTCTCCCTTCCACCCGGCACTGTTCCAGGGCAGGAACTGGAGTCTCCTTCTCCTTCCCCAGCAGAGTGACGTGACCACAAGGCCAAATCCTGCTTGGGTTTTCCCATCTGGTCGGTTGTGACTGGTAAGCAGGGGAGCAGACCTTCGGTGTGTGCTTTCACAGCGTTCCTCCGGTCTTGTTTACGGGGACTCACATCCAGCCAAGCATCCCACGTCTTCAGAGAGGGCTATCTACCTCTTCCTCAACGGCACCTAAGTGCCCTTGCAAATCTGGTCCCTTCATTCCCCACTCCCCTTTCCTGATACGGAAAAGCTCTTGGGAAGGAGCGGTTTGCTCATTTCCCCACAAAATTCTCCAACACGATCACCTTCAGACTGCTCTGGATTAAACTATGGCACAGCCTTAGAGCCGAGTCCTGTAGCACAAGAGCCCTGGGCCAAACTCCAGCTCCCCCATGGCACCCCCCCTGCTGCTGTCTCACTGTAGTCCTGGCCCTACCTTGGCAAGACCATAGAGGGGTGCAGGGGGGGCCCTTCCTTCACTGACTGCTGGCTCCCTACTCCTTTTTTCCTGCTGTTTTCCCCTCTCCCACTGTTTTTTCCCACTTCCCACTCCTGTCCTGTACCACGGTCTCCCTCCTGGTTATCTCTCCCCTCCTGCTGTTTCGCTCTCCCCTGCTCCTCTCTTGTTCTCCCTTCGCCACTCGGTCTTGTTCTGCCGCCGCTCCCGTCCTCCCCTCCGTCCTCCCTCCTGCTTCCCCGCTCGGTCTCGCTCTTCTCCCCCCCTCCTCCCCTGCCCTTGTGCGCTGTGATATATATTTTTGTAGGATTTCTCTTCTCCTCGTGGTGAAATATTCAATTCTTGTGGGATGTTAGTTTCAACATTTTTAAATAAACCTTTGCAAAATACTGAAAGCAGGGCTCTCGCTGCTGTGGAAGAGGCCGTAGCGGAGACATCAGGGTGGGACAACAGGGACTTCACCCTGGGCAGATCCTTGTGGGACAGGGTGTCAGACATCTGGCATCCCTCAGCCTCCTCTGGAGGGGTAGATGGGGCGATTTGACCCCGTGTCCATCTTGCCTTGGTCTCCTTGTCAGCCAAAGTGGCCCTTTTGACCCTCCTCACAGATTTCCATGGGAGGTGGCCCCTGATGGAGGTTGCCTTGCACAACCACTTCTCTACCCAGGGTGGCTGTTCTGCCTCTGGAGCTGCTGCCTCCCGGGCACGTTTTGGGGCTGCTTGTCAACACTCCAGTTTGTGCTGGGAGCCAGGGTGGCCGGGAGAGGTGAGAGAAGCTGAAGGGAAGGGAGGGAGACGGAGCGATGCAGGCGCAGAAGCCTCCCTCACTCTGTTCCCCGCGGCTGCCTCCGCAATTTCTATTTACAGCCCTGCTGCCTCCCCTCCTGGCCACAGTGCCGCTGCTGTTGCTGGTTTCCAGGGCTGCTCTGTAATTAAGCATCCTCGTCTCCTGCAACTCCCCCACTTTGCAAGCCCCTGCAGCGATCGGTGCTGGGGAGGGCGCCGAGGGGCTGCTGGAGACCAGCACCAGGCATGGTGGCCGCCCTGAAGGGCTGCTCCCCAGCAATGGTAGGAGGATTGCTGGATGCTGGGGACGGTCCCTGGCCCTTGGTCCTTCAGTCCACTTGCTGTCCAAGTCTCTCAGGCATAGGTGTCCCTGCTCGGTTGCTTTACTTCCAGAGGAAGGAGCAGGCACTCCAGCCCTGACCTCACCTCAGACTCTGTCCTGAGGTCTCTTCCCACTGGAAGGACCCAGAACTACCTCCTGCTGCCGGGCCAGACCTCTCCACATGGCACCCTGTGCCCTGGACAGGATCTCTGTGGGCTGGAGGTGGCCCCAGGCCCATGAGAGAGCAGACACATGCCTGTGGTGGCTGTCCCAGGGCATGTACACACAAGAGGCTGAACAGCACCTCTTCTGCCCCTGTGCTGAGTGTGGGAGGAGGGAGTCCCTCACCCCTGTTGCTTTAGGTGGCCGGTTGCCTGTGCTCTGGGCTGATCCCCCACAGTCAGCCACATACGGCAGTTCTGGGGCTGGGCAGGCTGGAGAGACTCGACTGAGAAGGTGATAGGTTCTCACTGTGCTGAAATTACAAACTCACATACTCATCAGTGCAGTGAAATGTCTTGCAGAAACCTCATCTGCTTCCAGCCAGAGCTTCAGTCCTTCCTGCTGTCTTCTCTGTCATCAGATGTTTTTCCTCCAGTGCCCTCTCGGCAGAGGCTGAGGCTGCAGCAGCTCAGTCAAAAGCTCCCTTTCTTCACCAGGACTCACTTTCTGCCTCACAGGAGATGCTCCACAAGCTGCTGTTCTTAATTCTGGTTTCCTGACTCCCTGCTCGAGTCCCTTCCCACCACCATTCCCCACTACATCACTCTTGCCCACATGCCCATGTGGACTTCCCACCTTTCCAGTCTGGTCCCAGCCCTGCCTCCTTCCCCACCATCTCCCTTCCTTCCTCGTCTCCAGCCTTGACTCTCTCCCTAGCATCTCCCCAGCATCTCCCCAGCATCCTGTTCTCCAACATGGAGCTAGAATGGGGAGCTGCATGCTGAACGAGGACAGCAGAGAGGGGAGGAATGGATGTGATTATCTAAATCAAAGAAGAATGCCTAAAAACTGTACAACCACATCAAGGCACACAAAAATCACCCCAACATGTGGTCAAAACCAAGCATGAGGTATTGCTGATCACTCTGATTTCCTGGGAAAGAGACTACTTCAGAAAAACATTATGAAAGCATCTCCCAAAGCTGGGATTCCCTCCAGCTGAGTGCCTTCTATAACCTGCAATAAATTATCCCATTATGGAAAAAAAAAAATAAAAAATAAAATCAGGCAACTGTCAACTGGAAGCACCTGTCAATGCAGGGATTTGGCAGCGAGCTAGAGTGTTCCCTTACCTCCCCTGCTCAAGGAGCTTCTGCAGCAGTTAGGACTCCACGTGCTCCAGCTCTGCCTTCCTCCCTGGGCCAGTCCTGTTGGCTACTGCCACTTTGTGTGCCTTCACAGGGTGCCCAACGCTGTGGGCACGAGGGTAGTGGTGGGAAAGCACCTGTGGAGCTGGGGGCATCACTGTGCTCCTCAGGACAGCATGGATGAGCCGTGCTAGCTCAAGTGTAAGCCTGGATGCAGAAGGGACAGACAGCTTAGAACAGAGGTAACTCTGCACCCTGCCAAAGGGATGTGGCTGTGTAGATGGCTGTTTAATTAGGAGCAATGCACGACTTGAAACTGCCACGAAGAATGGCTCCGAAACAAGCAACCGCTCATTTCAGCGTCATGCAAAGGAGTCGAGTAGTTCCCTTGGTTCATTCCTGCTTTGATCCTCGGAGGGAGAATTGAATCTTTACTGAGGGCTGCTGTGTCTCCGAGTGCACATTGCACTCAGTGAATAATAGACCATTCAGTGACGCATTCCACATTGATCCAAAGCCCAGCTTTCTCTGGGAGTGACCAGAATACAAGCAAAACCATCTTCAACTTCAGATCAATCCCTACAAGGGATCTGGCAGGGAAACAAATGCCAGTTTCTGCTTCAGGGACCTGTCCTGCATCTCTGTGGCTCCTCGTTAGAGCTCCAGTGGCAGGAGAGCAGATGCTCTAGGGCAGCAAGTCTAGTTTGAAGCCCAGAATTCATCGACGGCCGGACATACCGCGAGGGTTCAACAAACAAGCAAGCAAACAAGCCTGGGGTGACTAATTTTCTGAATGTCAGAGGAACATAGTTTGATGTCTACAGTACGCACTGGTCAAATGTACATTACAGCCTGGCCTGGCTGAAGAGATGGTTGGTTTCCCAGTCAGGTTGCCTAAGGAAGGATGATGGGACAGGCATCGTGATTCTCTCAAGGACCATCCCAGACTTGGTAAAAGTAAGAGCCTTTTGAACCTTTCCTAAATGAAAGGGCAGTCAGTGGTGGGTGTCCTCTGCTAGTGCCAGGGGAATCGCTCGAGCCAGGCTGGTGCACTGTGAACCCACACAGCTTTGGTTGAATATGTTCATGAACCAAAACATGAGCATAAGGGTTAAACACACAGCGGAGGCTTGTGTCAGTCTCATTACATCGATTTCAGACCCATTTGGCGACACCAGGATGAGTTATTTAAGCCTGAAATGGTTTCTTTCCAGTGCCTTTTTCTGCTTTGCCAATTCCTCTCTCGTGTGACATATTGCGTGCGAGAGAACGTGACACAAGTGGGGTCCGAGGCTCTGCTTAGTGTTATCTTGCATTTGCTGTATACGCAGCAGGAGCTGCGAGAGGTGGTGGAGAGGTGTCATTCCCTCCTTTATAATGAGATTTCCCTTATTCCAAGCATCGGGATGACCTCCATGGCACAAGTGAAGACCAGAAGGACTGTCCTAGCTAAAGGGGGGGGTTCTTGCAGCTGCTCACGATGGCCAGCTTACGTGTAGCTAACAACAGGGTGCAGTAATTCTAAGTGCAGCAAACGAGGAAGAGACAGGTTTTCCCCTGGTACCCGCAAGTTAGAGGAGGGCTGGGACGAAATGGTGACTAAGCATAATACTGCGTCTTCCAGGGGTTTGGTGACAGTCCTTAGCTGACGCGCAGGCAGTCCTGCGGCGAGAAACAAATTGCCTAACTAAAATACAAGGAGCTGAAGCTGTCGAGCAAAGGCCTTAAAGAAGAGAGTTATGAGAGAGCAGGAGCATAAGGGAGGAGAGGAAAAGGCACAGTGAGGAGAGAGCAGACAGAACCAGAAATTGTGGCTAGGATTAAACGGGGAATGGATCAGGATGGAAATTTAGAGCCGGGGGACTTTAAAAGAGCTGAGTAAATCAAGACAAAATGGGTGAAGCAAGGGTCTAGGAGCTCATAGGTACCGGGGTGCTGCTGATGCTGAAGCCCTGATGTAGCCTGAGCACCTTTCCAGTTCCCCTGATCCTTCCAGTTGTCTCAGGAGCAGCACCCGCATCCTCCCCTGCCTCCTGGGGAGGGAGGGGGAAGCAGAGGCCACTGTACGTGCTCATGGCTCAGCCCTCAGAGCTCAGCCTCACTGCGGCAGAGCAGACCCAGCCCGTGTGTCAGGGATGGACGATTGTCACAGAATGTAGGTCAGGGGGGTGAAAGCCCCTTTTGCAGGTTTAAAGATCTGAGCCCTCCTGATGTTCACTCGGAAGGATGATACATTCTCACTTCGAGGATGGTGTTTCCTTTTCCTGCCAGCTCCCTTTTCTAATGTTAATTGTTCGGTCATCGTTCTCCAGGAGCTGAGATGGAGGTCACGTCATCTGAAGCACCAAAAGGCACCAAAGAACTAAGCTATAGGGATTGCATTCTGAACATGCACAGCGCCAACACCACCAAAAAACGAGGCTGTCAGCATCTGCCTTTGGGCTCCCAGAGCCAGTATTTTGGCCTCTGGCCTTTACCACTAGAGAGCAAGAAGAGTGCCACTTGGAGAGGTGCGTGGTGAGAGAGGGGTCCCTCAGGCTTGGAGATGAATTGCAGTAGAAAGCCCAGAAAGAATGACGCACGAGAAAAGTGTTTTGCAAAAATGAAGCCAAGGATGCAAATGTGAAGGAGTGAGTAGTGGCATGATACAGCGAGCACCATCCTCTGCACCAGAAGGGCCTGGTGGAAAAGTAGCACACGCTCATGTAATGTTAATGTGAATCCAAGGATCTATCAGGATGGCTGGATGAAGGAAGAGGCGGGTGTTTCCCAACTCTTGAGCTGACTTTGCATCCTGGGTGGTTACTGCCATTTGTTTTCTTCTTCTGTGATAATTGTACGTCGTTTCTCTGCACGGTTCACTGCACAAACGATCTCACGTACCCGCCTGAGCTGTGCTTTATTGTATTTTGTTTAAATATGCGAAATCGTATGCAACTCCATGTGACGTCTTATGCAAATTGCTTCTTGT